GCATGTTGAGTCCATTGTGGCTCTTGTATCAGTCCATCTAATCGAGAGTTTCCCTTATTTTTACTGACCCTCTGCTTTACCACAAACATGGTGTCCTTTTCAACTTGGTCCTTTCTGATGACACGTCCAAAGTTAGCAAGCTGAAGTCTCACCATCCTTGCTTCTAAAGAGCATTCCATCCGTATTCGTTTATACATTCATCTGTTGATGGACATTTGGGTCATTTCCACTTTATTCCATCAGTGAATAATACCACTGTAAACATTCTTGTATGAATCTTTTGGTAGACAAAGGTATTCATCTCTTGAGTAGATACTTTGGAGTGGAATTGCCGGGCCATAAGGTGGGTGGACATTTACCTTTATTGTTGTTGTTAGGTGCCGTCAAGTTGGTTTCGACTTATAGCGACCCTATGAACAAAAGGTAACACCGCCCGGTCCTGCACCTTCCTCACAATCGTTGTTAGCTTGAGCCCACTGCTGCAGCCACTGTCTTTCTCTTTTTCGCTGACCCTGTACTTTACTAAGCATAATGTCCTTCTCCAGGGACTGATATCTCCTGATAACATGTCCAAAGTATGTAAGACGTAGTCTCGCCATCCTTGCTTCTGACGAGCATTCTGGTTGTACTTCTTCCAAGACAGACCTGTTCGTTCTTTTGGCAGCCCGTGGTATATTCAATATTCTTCACCAACACCACAATCCAAAGGTGTCAATTCTTCTTCCATCTTCCTTATTCACTGTCCAGGTTTCGCATGCATATGAGGGAATTGAAAACACCATGGCTTAGGTCAGGCACAGCTTAGTCCTCAAGGTGACATCTTTGCTTTTCAACACTTTAAATTCTTTTGCAGCAGATTTGCCCAATGCAGTGTGTCTTTTGATTTCTTGACTGCTGCTTCCATGGGTGTTGACTGTCGATCCAAGTAAAATAAAATCCTTGACAACGTCAATCTTTTCTCCATTTATCATGATGTTGCTTATTGGTACAGTTGTGAGGATTTTTGTTTTATGTTGAGGTGTAATCCATACTGAAGGCTGTGGTCTTTGATCTTCATCAGTAAGTGCTTCAAGTCCTCTTCACTTTCAGAAAGCAAGGTTGTGTCATCTGAATAACGCAGGTTGTTAATGAGTCTTCCTCCAATCCTAATGCCCCATTGTTCTTGATATAGTCCAGCTTCTCTGATTATTTGCTCAGCTTAACTTTATTAGAAAGTGTGAAACAGTTTTCCAAAGTGTTTGCACTGTGTTGCACATCGACCAGCAATGGATAAAAGTTCCAGTTGCTCCACATCGCCACCAACATTTGGTGGTGTCAGTCTTCTAAACTGAGCTGTTATGGTGGGCGTGTAGTGGAATCTCACTGTGGTTTTAATTTGCATTTCTCTGATAACTAATCATGATGAGCACCTTTTCATTGGTTCACTGGCTATCTGTATCTCTTTTATAGAGTACTTGTTCAAGTTTTTTCACATTTTTTGATTGGGTTGTTTGTCCTTTTAATATTAGCTGTAGAATTCTTTATATATTCCGGATACAGGTCCTTTATTAGATGCATACATCTCAAATGGTCTCTCCCAGTCTTCATTTTCATAAAGTGAAAACTCATGATGAACAGAAATTTCCAAGTTTGAAGTTCCATTTGTCATTTTCTTTATGGTCTGTGCCTTCTGTGTCCTTAGAAGTTCTTTTCCTTCCAAGGTCATGAAGTTCTTTTCCTGTTTTCTTCTAGAAGCTTTATCGTTTTAGCTCCCATTCTTAGGTTTGTGTGCTATCTTGAATGAATTTCTGTGTATGGTGTGAGGATGGAGTCGAAGTTCATTTTTGCCCTGTTGGCCATCCAATGCACCGGCAGCCTTCCTTTCCCCACTGAGGGGCACTTTTGTCAAACATCAAGTGACCACATGTATGGACCCACTTCTGGACTATTCTGTTCCACTGATGCGAGTCCATCCTTATGCCAGTGCCATGCTGTTTTGATTACTGCAGACTTAAAGTCAGTCTTGAAATCTGGGAGCGCGAGTGCTCAAATTTTGTTCTAGATTTTCTTGGCAAGTCTAAGTCTTCTGCATTTCCATACAGATTTTTGAACTCAGATTGTCACTTTCTACAAAAATCCGCTGGGATTTTGATTGGATGGCATTGAATCTACGTACCAACTTGAGCAGAATCACTATCTTAACAATATGGAGTCTTCCAATCCATGGACATGGGATATTTTCCCATTCATTTAGGTCTTCTTTCTCTCTCCTTAATTTCAGTGCAGGGGGTTTATACATCTTTCATTAAATTTATTCCTAAGTATTGAGGTTTTTAGTGCTATTGTTAATTATGTCCCTTTTTTTCTTTTTTCCATTTTCTAGTTGTTGGTTGCTAGTATACAGAATTACAGTAGATTCTGGGTATTAACCTTGTTTCCTGTAACCTTGCTAAATTCACTAATCAGTCTCATTAATATGTTTGTAGATTCTCTTGGATTCTCTATGTACACGATCATGCCATCTGTGAATTTTTTATTTAAACTTTCTTCCTTTTCAAATGTTATGCCTTATTTCTTGCCTTTTTGCCCAACTGGAATTCCCAGCACAGTGGTGACTAGAAGCAGTGAAAGCAGACATCCTTGTCCTGTTTCTGGCCTACCCCACCGGGAGAGGCACTATTACATTGCCTCTGCCCCCGGGCCTGCACAGATACCCAAAACGGATTTAGGGCAATAACGTGTGGTGGCGTGAGACTGAAGGGCAACTGAGGGTCTTACCAGCGAAAAGCAAGGAACAGGCCTGTGAACAGCGTCCGCTGGCAAGCCTCCGCTGTGGGCAGCTCCACCTCAGCATAGGACTCCAGCCCCTTCTCAAGCTGAAGTGAATCCGCCACATTTGTGGACATTCAAGTACAACAGTCCTTTACTGACTGAACTGAGTTCAGGCTGAAAACAGAGCCTGGTGAGAAATTGCACCTTGACCGAATTAACCAATTGCTTGAGCATGTTCCTGCACAAGGAGACTGGAGATTGGGCCTCTAGGACTTCTCTAGAGCCCTGGTGGCACAGTGGTTAAGGGCTCAGCTGCTAACCAAAAGGTTGGCAGTTCGAATCCACCAACCACTCTTTGGAAACCCTGTGGGGCAGTTCTACTCTGTCCTATAGGGTTGCTATGAGTCGGAATCAACTCGATGGCAGCGGGTTTGGTCTGGTTTTGGTTTAGAGCCTCTCTAGTACTTCTGCTGGAGTCCCTAGGCAGTGCAAACAGTTAAGCACTTAGCTGCTAACCGAAAGGTTGGAGGTTTGAGTCCAGCCAGAGGTACCTCGTAAGAAAGGCCTGGCGCTCTACTTCCGAAAAATCAGCCACTGCAAACCTTATGGAGCACAGTCTACTCTGACACCCATGGGGTCACCATGAGTCGGAGCCCACTCCACGGCCAATGGTTGTAGTGCTTCTGCTAAAGCTCTCCGGTTTAGGGCGTGTTTCTTTCATCCTCCAGCACGGCAGGTACCCAGATGAGAGCTGTTTTCCGGTGCGACAGACCGCCTTCAGGAGATGTCAGTGTCAAAGCGAACGTGGAGACTAGGAACCAGCCCAGCCTCGCCAGCGGTCGGGCTCTCGGGCACTCAAAAGCAGGCTGCTGGCGGCGGTGTGAGTCTAGGCGCTGAGCCCTGATGAATGCCTCATCGGGAGCTGTGGCTCATCACAGCCAATGCCACACTCTGTCACTCTGGAGCCCGGGGTGGGGTGGAGGGGTCATCTGGTGTGCTGCTGTGTGAAGTCCCTCTAAGAGGGCCCACCCTGGGCTCACCCCACCCCTCCCCAGCGGTGTCCCCGCTCATCGGCCAGGACGGAGCCAGCACACACAGCACAGCCCCATGGGGGTCCAGAACGGGGCGCCCCCCCAGCAGAGGCAGCCAGCGGGTGGGCAGGCGCAGGTCAGCAGTCGGCCCGCAGACACAGCAAACCCCGTGCTGGCTCTGCCCACAGGAGCTTCCGTCCGGAAGGTGAAACGCCCCGGGCTCCAGTCCCCGGCTCGGGCTGCAGGTCCTAACAGGAAGCCCACAGACCAGCCCTCCGCAGAACCAGAGGCGAGCCTCTGGGAGGACAATCCGGAACATGAGGGAAAACAGGCCAAACAAATACAGATAAATTTGTTTTTAATAAAGGAGTTAATTTTCTTTCAATCCTATATAAAACAATAGCAATTAAAAACTTCATTTTTGAAAGTAAAATATTTACATATGAACAAGTAACTGTGCAAAATTTACATGAAAAAATGGAAAGACAGGGATTTCCTAAAAGACAAAATAAAAGGTGTAACAGTTTTCGGGTGTTGATAAAAAATACTGGTCAGCACTCAGTCACGCGCGCTCAAGTCGAGCGTGAGATTCCACAGAGAAAGCCAGAGTATTTACAGTCATAAAAGTACTATCAATAGACAATTTAATACAATAACCTCTGAAAATATAAAGAACCAATTAGTATATTTGTAATAAAAAAATAGGTACAAAGAAGGGGCTTTGCTCTGGGCGTCTGTAAAGTGGGCCCACAGCTTGCATACAGTCTCGTAGCAAAATAATTACCGTTTACATCGCCATTCTTATGTTATGTGCCAGAAGTTATGTACAATTACTGACAAATCCACCAACCATTGTTCAACACTTGATTCACACCGAGAAACAGTCTGCTGATTCTTCTCAACTCTGATTTTATTTCATCTAAGCTTTCACTTTGAGCTAAAAAACACAGTGCAAGTAAAATATATTTATGCTGAAAAGGTCTTCATCTCTGTTAACTTGACAGCTTTACAAACGAGAGCAAATCAATGCCTTTGTACAGATGCTGACGGCATGCCCGGAGGAGCCGCCCGCCGCGAGCGCAGGCGCGGGGCAGACAGGTGATAACGGTGGAGGCGATGGGTCCTGGATTCCTCGGGAAGGGTAGACGGGGGAGAGGGGGGAGGGAGGGGGATGAATAGTCTAAAAACGTCAGCTTGCTTTGCCAACCGACTCTTACAAAAATAAAATACGTGAGATGAGGTCATGGGGCTGTAGACATGTGCCCGTGTCGTAAGTTAGCTGGAATTAACCAAACGCACATGTAACGTGGACACAGGGACGCGCTGACAGAAGGCAGCTGCTACTGGCTAGCAACCCCATCAGTCTTATATGGCTTGTTTGGCAAGAAGGCCACTCAATCAAAGATGAGCTCAGATTTCACTGTCCTTTAGGAGTATCCACAGGCCTTGAGTTCTCTCTGCTACAGAAATGCATTTTCTCTCAGACTGAAGAGCTGATTTATAAACAGGAATATAAAACTGTTCCATTGTAAAGAGGTGGCTGTTTTTTTAAACAATATTCCATTTGCTTGTTACAAAAAGGCGTCATCTGCAAATATATAAAAACGTCCCAGGCGTCCCCGTCACAACGCCGCGTTCTCCTGTCACTTGAGGAATGCTTTGTAGAGCAGCAGGGAACGGCTTGTCTCACGCTCGTTTTCTAAACAAAATATGAGGTCCCTGAGGTTGACCCGCGTGATCCGCTGCCGCGTGAACGGTCGGGGGGTTCCGACGCCCGAACTGCCTGGGACCGCCGTGCCGGGGCCCGATCCCTAGTGGCCGAAAGGAAGAAACGGCGGTTAGTGGAGCCTGACGCCGGCGGCAAGGAGGCCCCACCCCGGGGCTGGAAGGGTCAGAGCCTGTGGCCCCCAGCTGATCCCTCAGGGCACTGGCGGCGGAGGGGACGCCAAGAAAGTCTCCTGGGCCCCGGGTGTGGGCACCCCAGCATCGCCCCAGGTGTGGGAACCCCAGATTTGCCCCAGGTGTGGGCACCCCAGCATCGCCCCGGGTGTGGGCACTCCAGCATCACCCCGGGTGTGGGAACCCCAGGCGTGGGAACCCCAGCATGGTCCCAGGTGTGGGAACCCCAGGCGTGGGAATCCCAGCATGGCTCCGGCTGTGGGAACCCCCACGTGGCCCCAGCTCCTTCCAGGCAGCCCACTCTTGAGCTCCCGGCCTTGGTTACTACCACGGGTGAGGACAAGGGGCTCCGAGCCAATGGGCCGCAGCACCCCACGCTGACCTCCAGTCACCCTGGGGCCAAGAGGAGGCTCCCTGCACCCCACTGGTCTGGGTGAGCCGCCTCTCCCTGGGACCGACAGGGCACAGGTGCCCCGCCCCCTCAGTCAGCCTCTGATCTGACCTGGAGGAAACAGCTGCTGCTGGGCTGGTTTTTCAGGGTGTGTCCATCACCCCCGTCTGACACTCCTTGAGCACAAACCACAGAACGCCCACTGGGTGGCTTTCAGGGCTCTAAGTGGGGTGGTGTCTGTGCACCTGTGCTCTGATGGCTAAAGGTGCTCGTACACATTTTAAGCACAGAATCTACCATGGTATGTCACAGCTTGTTCTCAAAGTGTAAGCTGTTGGAACTACTCCTAGCAGGCATGCCGGACAGACCCCAGGCCGGACAGACCCCGGGCTGGCGGCCCAGGAAGCTGCTGCCCATGGACAGAAGGACAAGGCGGCGTGGCCAGCAGGGGGCAGGGGAGGCCCACGGCGCTCCTCCTCCACCTGAGCCGCCCGCCGTGCCCGGCTCCGCCAGCTCTTCACGAGGCCGGGGGTCTGGTGCTGTCTAAGGCACACATGTGTCTCTGGCCCTTGGTGACATTTTCTTTACAAATATGACAAGCAAAGAGCATGTCACCCCTTCAGGCCCCTCCACCGCCACGGTCCCTCCTTCAGACGGGGCCGTCGCTCACTCAGGGGCTGCTTTTCCTGTCTGAAGAATTGCGAGGTTTTCACAGCCAGGTGTGGCTCAGCCTTCACAGCAACCTTCAAGGAGTGCAGAGTGTGAGGGAGCCAAACACGCCTTCAAAGGCTGGCTGGAAACTAAGGGTTAAAGGCACCAGGGACAACGGGTCCTCTTTCCACAGGACACCTCGAGGCCACTGGGCAGGTGGAGCAGAGGCCCGTCACCGGGTGTCCCTGAGGCCTGCACGCCAGGTGGCCCAGCGAGAGTTGGGAGCGCGCTGTGACCGCTCAGGGACACAGCTGCTGCCTGTCCTGTGGGGTCAGGTCATCGGCTTCATTTTTCCACAAGCAAGGCATTAATATCCTGAGAATAGGTAGTGCCCAAGTGTGAAGACACCCCGGGCCCAAGCACCTGACCCTCCACTCAGCCCTGACTTGGTTGAACCGCCCACACTCACTACAGGCTGCAGGGTCACAGGCTGCAGGGTCACAGGCTGCAGGGCCACAGGCTGCAGGGTCACGGGCTGCAGGGTCACAGGCTGAAATGTTACAGGCTGCAGGGCTACAGGCTGCAGGGTCACAGGCTGCAGGGTCACGGGCTGCAGGGCTACAGGCTGCAATGTTACAGGCTGCAGGGTCACAGGCTGCAGGGTCACAGACCAGTGAGGCTGGACTGCAGGGCCAAGAGGACACCGGGGTGGGGGGGTGGGGGCCTTACCCAGCACAGACCGAATAACCCACCTGAGACACCCATGACGTTTACTACAAATTCTGTATCATAGTTATTTCTAACAGTTCAACACCATAAACAGGGTGAGGCGCTTGCCTCAGACTCAAAACCTCAGTGTGATTTCCAATCAAAATGAAGGCAATGAACCCAGGCCAACGCTGTAAGCAGAAGGCCCAGCGTGGGCGCGTCCCCCAGGCTGCACTCGATGCCGGCCGTGACCACGACGCTGGCGCCACGTGAGCTCTGGACTAGACTGCGCTGTCCATCCCAGGGAGATGCAGGGACTCCTCGTGGTGCTCGGCTCTGTGAACATAGCGGAGTTACCCTGAAATCTAACCAGCCTGTGCTAAGGTCTGTACTCAATGCTTGCTGACCCAGTGACATGGGCTCCGCTGCAGCTTTGTCCTTCTCTCCCCGGACGAGGGGCTCCGTGGGCACGGTCTTCCTCGAGGGCCTGTGACCACACGGCTGCGTAAGAGGCCACTCACGCCTTCGCTTCAGGGTGGGGTGGGAAGGTGACACTCGGCCCCCAGCCAGGACCAGATGACCGTCCAGACCCTCGCGTGTTAGCGACTGTAACCTCTCGTTTATGCAAAACATGCGCTGTCTGTGCCCACGGCTGGCGGTCAGTGGGGAGGCAGGGCTCGCGGTCGAGGGTCACAACACTGGGGCGTGAGGCCTCAGGGAGAAGCCCCGTGCCAATCAATGGGACGCAAGTGTCCTTGGTGCTGGGAGAGACCGGCGTGTAAGCCCGCCCACCTAGATGACCCCAGCAGTGGCCTACGAGAACGGAAGACACTGGGGCAGCATCAGCCCTGGGAGGCAGCAGGGCACGGACCGAACACCAATAGAATTTAAACTCCAGGGAGTCTATACTACAGGACTCACGGCTTTCTTGTTTTTAAAAGAAGTGGAAAGATTTGCAAGTGATGATTATTGACACTGGGTGGTGGGCACGTGGGGATTTTTTGTTTAATTGCGGTGAAACACGTATGCAAAAGTTTGCCACTGTAACCGCTTTTAAGGATACAACTCGGGGACACTGACTCCATCCTCTGCGCTGTACCGCCTTCACCGCCATCTGTTTGCAGAAGTCGCACGGCCCCCAACAAGCTCAGCGCCCCTTCCTCCCACAGGAACCCCCAGCCTCCCCCTCAGCCCCTGCGGCCGCCGGCCGACTTTCTGCCTCTGGGCGTTTGCCTCTGCTAGACATTCCCTACAGGACAGATGACCCAGTGTCAGTCCTTCGGTGACTGATGTCAGCCTGCCTGGCGTTTCTGGAGCTCGTCCGTGTTGTAGCGTGCATTAAGAACTTCATTCCTCTCTGTGACTGAGTGACACCCCGCCGTACGCACGCACGTAGTGTTTGTCCATCATCTGCTGATGGAGACTTGGGTCGTCACCTTCGGCGGTGCTGAGAAGTGCTGCAGTGAACACGGGTGTACACGTGTCCGGCCGAGTCTCTGCTTTCAATGTCTCTGGGTATACGCCTAGCAGGAGAATCGCTGGCTACGTGGAAATTCATTACACTGGTCTCACTAATTTTGTGTTCGAAATTTTCAAAATAAAAAGTGTTTAAAAATAACAAAAAGAAACTCTAATAAAAAAGATTTTTTTTTAAAGTGCAGACACTGGGGTCGAAAAATAAAGCGACTTTGGACAAATCATCTGAACTGCCCCAAACATTAGTTCCTGTGTGTGAAATGGTGCTGTGAACACTCACCTCGCCTCGTCAAGACTGCTGACGGGATTTAACCAAAGGAGGCTGCGGTTTCTGAGGAAGGCCGATCTGTCAACTGTCAGAAATACCACAATACCTCGGACACACAACAAATACGTGAGGTAATACCCAAATGGGAAAGTCACTGTCCCTCATGGGCTGGAAGGGCGACATTTACCCGAGGTGACACCGCTGTGTCCGACAGAAATGTCCTCGGCGACAGCAGAGGCAGCCCCCAGGCTTCCGCTGATGGAAGATTGCCTGGTTTCCCTCACGTCCCGTGAGCACTCACCAACAGCAGGCCTGGAGCATCAGGCCATGTTCCTTTGAGGCCTGCGAGCAGCGCGCCCGTGCCCGCGTGGCCCATGAGAGTTGGACGGCGGGCCCTCAGGTGAGTGGGCAGCATCCTTGACTCGCCCGCTTGCGTCGTCAGGGACAGACTGCAGCATCGTCGGGGACAGACCGCAGCCAGGCCCCACAAATGCTGCAGCTCCCAGCAGACAAGTGCCCAGTGGTCACCGCAGTTCCCCTTCACACAGGCAGTCCTCAAACCTCGTTCACACCCCCTCTGCTCCTAATTAAGCGCCCGTGAAACGTGCACAGCACGCAGATAACAGCGCACAACTTAGAGAACAACCACCATGATAAAACGCGCAGGCACTCAGCTTGAGGGAACTAACATCACTTCCAGGAAGCTGAAGACAATGACGGCCCCCAGTACCCGTCTCCCACTATTTCCTCCAAAAACGGTTCAAAACAGCAAGGAGGGAAACACCAGTGTACACAGAAATCCCCCCACTGGCCTGACGTGGACACGGGGGCTGCCGGGACCCCAGCACAGCCGCAGGTGAGAAGAGAGCTGACGTGTGCCCCGCGCACCCTCACTCTCCTGTCACGAGGCTGCATGGCCAAGAAGGACCGAGAGAACTCGGGCAGACAGAAGGGGGTGCTAGCGAGGGGCTGGGGCCAGTCTAGCCCACCGCCGGGAAGGCTGCGTCCACCCAAGCCTGAGAACTGTGAGGTATCCGGGGCGCAGACCACAGGGAAGGGACGGTCTCCAAACACACAGCATCTGGGGGAGAAACGAGGCAAACTGGAATGTTCCGAAGACAACTGGTGGCAAAGAGGAAAGTTAGAGCTCTGCAAGACAAAAAGAGAACCTCAAAACCACAGGACACAGGACCCCCCGCCCCAAAAACATCAAGACAGACAAGAGCGACTGAACCACCGGGACTTTGCAATGCTGCCAGAAGAGGGCGCCATTACCCCGTGACTCTTGTAAACACCCAAGGCCACACGAGGAAGGTGAACAATTCCCTAAGAGCTACGGCCAGAATTCAGAAAATGAAACTGCACACCTACCAACCGAGGCAGATTCACCAGGAGAAAGAAAACTTAGACAATGCTCC